CTAACCAGCTGAGACTTTTTACTATGATGAGCATGAATGTGCGTACAAAGTTTCTATGTAATATATACTCACTGAACACCTGTCAGGATCTGTGTGCTTGTTAGTTTTCTTTAATTTTTTTTTTTTTTTTTAATGGTTAGGTTTATTTTATGCTGTGTTTTTTTTTCCTGTGTTTAGTTTACTTTGTGTTTTCATTATTTCAGTATCCCCGTGTTCCTCGTTACCGCCTGTCACTCTCCCTCAGCTCATTCCTCCTTGGTGCTTTCCTCAGCCAGTCCTGGTTCACCCACTTACACCTGCACCCTGTTCCCTTGTCTCACCTGTAGCCACTCTCCTCGTTCTCCACCATCTACTTAACCTTTCTGTGTTTTCCCACATCCTCATCAGTGCATGTCTGACTCCATGCCACAGTCTGTATCCCCCGTTTCTGTTTATTTGTTTATTTAAGGATCCCCATTAGTTTCTACCGTAGTAGAGACTAGTCTTCCTGGGGTCCATACTTAAAACATTTCAATTAAATCATGCTTTTACAAACATACAAAAGGACATATTAAAATACCTAAATACACAATAGAGAAATTCAAACCAGCCGTCTCAATAACATTTTACAAGCATTACAAAATGACAAAATACTGTACTTTAAACAGCAATTTTCATTTCCATTGTAAATTTATCAATTCATCAATTCAATTTTATTTCATTATCTATTATAGATTTTTTAAGATTCTTTTTAAAATTAACATGATTAGCAATTAATGTAATTACAGAAGGCAGCATGCTCCAATAAGAAGTTGCTCTATACACAGCTGTTCTTTTGAGAGCATTAGTCCCAGACAGAGGTAATATAAAAGTAACAACAGAGGCTCGTCTAGTATTAAAAGCACGTCTACTGCAGGTGGGTAACAACTGTGAGAAAAGGCCAAAAGGTTTATGTGAAGTCCAGATTTTGTGTAAAGACAGAAGAAGGCTGCATGCTAGTCTGTCACCAACTTTCATCCATGACAGGCATCGATGCATGAAATCAACGTTTGTTCTGAAATGACATCGAGTGCTAGTCTTGCAGCTTCATTTTGAAATACCTGCAGTTTATCCAGATGTTTTTTTAAGCACTTGACCAAACAACTGAACATTACTGAAGTTGACAAAGAACTAAAGACTGTATAACTAATTTTCTTGTTTCCAGAGACATAAAATGTGCATTATGCCAGATTATATCAATGTTTCTGCTCATCTTAGTCACAATCGTATTAATTTGTTTTGACCATGAAAGAGTTTTGTCTATTATGACTTCCAGTAGCTTAACCTCTTCAACTTGTTCTATTGATTGTTTTTGTGCAAAGATTTGCAACTTTTGAGTTTCTTACAAAATATTTACAAGCCAATATCATACATTTTGTTTTTGAAACATTCAGTTTTAACTTGTTGTCCGTTACCCACTCAGAAATATACAGTAGCTCTTGTTGTAATACCATATTTAAATACCAAGTAAATATCAATCAACCTGTATAAATAAAGGTTGATTGATATTTACTTGATCCAAGCTATCAGAAGACACATAACTAGTTGTATCATCGGCATATATAGTCATGCATACAGATGACGTCATTTACAAAAATACTATACAGCAGAGGAACAAAGCAGCTACCTTCTGTGCTTTCTTGTGACTCTTTTTTAAGCTCCTTGTTCTCATCAGCGTTCTTGGGTTGAAAACCTTCAGAAACCATCTCCCTGTCATTCCACCACTTCAAACCCAGCCATATTTTCTCTTGTGTTAATGGAATGGTGAACCCATAGTCCCACTGATACCAGTCACCAAGACGTGTTGCAGGACGACAAAAGGTGTTGTACAGAGGCGATTACCCATGTCCAGATACATGCACAGATGTCATAAGGTTGGTTGGCACACACTAAAGCAATGCTCTGTGGGTGTGGTCTGTCTCGAGTGAATGTAACCTTCACAATATGTGTGAGGTCCCTCATGTACCCTCTGATTCCTCTGGACTACTGTGACACCTGTATGTCCCACGTGTCTTGCATTTGCACAATACATCCATGGAGTCTCCTGCACACCCACAATGTCATCACTGTCAAAGTCTGTCAAGTGCTGGTAACACTGTTTGTGAGGATTGTGTTCATTTGTGTGTCTCCTTCTTGGTGTCTACTCCTGCTCTCCTGTATTTCTCCCTCACATAATCAGTTCCTCCTCTGCTACCTGTTGTCCTTTTCCTGGTGTTTGTGTTTATCCCCTCGTTAGTGTGTCTTTATACTCTGCGGTTGGTTATCGTTCACCTGTCCAAGGATTGTCCTCTTTGGCATCATGTCCTCTTCTCTCGCTGTGTCACCTCTTCATGTAAGTTTTGTTGTCACGTCAGCTGTTGTGTTGTTTAAATAAATGTACTCGTGTTATTCCTGAGTCCTCCGAGTCCTGCCTGCATTTGGGTTCAAACCAACAACAGACCATGACCCTGTCTAATGCAGCTAAGAGACAGCCCCCGTCTGGTGACTTTTGTTCACTGACTTGACTGTCAAACGCCATCACTGGTCTGCAACTGGACCAAACTATGTTTAAATCTAACCATTCCTTCTGGGTGTTTGACTTTTTGTTAGTGATTGTATCTATGCATAACAAACCCATAGTCATGCTGCTAGTATAGCAAAAACTTTAAGAAGTTACCATGCCTAAAAATGTACATTTGCATGACTTTTCTTCTTATTGCAGGACACATCCATGTAGCCCCAGTGTGCTAGAGAAATCTGATTTTATCTGTTTAGTCCAAACAACTCCTAGTTCAGAGTCCACAATTTTCTGCT